TGTACTTTTTTTGTCTCGTTAATTTTTTTATTTTATTGTCTGTCATTTCTTTTTTTGATTCCGTAATTTTTTTCAAAATTAAATTATAAGTGTATTAAGTTTAATTATTATTGTGCGAACCTACACCTAACAAGCATTGCTTTCAAGTCGGTTCATTTTTTAATATCCTGTAACCAAATCATTTTGCATTACAATGAAAAAAATACAATGTCAAAGATAATTCAATGATAATTTCTGTTATATCCTTATGTTTATTATTGTATGTCATTGTTTATATTATGTGAAAAGAAATTAAACAGCTATTATTGCTGCTATTACCAAGTCTCTCGGAGGGGACTTCAAACCATCGGTCTCATTTGTGCTTACTTTCAAGTATACACATGCCTTTCTTAGCAGTCAGGTTAAAAACAAAAGTATTTGCGCATTGACTTGGTTTCGAACCCAGAACATCCAGGTTACAATACTACCGCTCTACCAATGAACCATTATACGTCACCCCTCTGAGCCATGAGGTAAATTACAAACCACCTTATGTCCTTTTTTTAATCTCTTATCATGCCACAGGGCTTATCCCCATTGTGCCAAGCCCCAAATCCCTCAGTGCCAAGTTTATATTGAGAAAATCTGATTCACGCGATGGTTCTATTGTATGAATAGCGCGTGCAAAACACACAGCACACTACAATGAGCATGAACAGTAATAGTCCAGAATCTGGTCTATTTAATATTGATCTTCACCACACCAACGTAAAGCTACCTCTCCCTACTTACTTGCTGCCAGCCGATGATGGCGTCATCATTAAATTAGGCCGCCCGGCGGCGGTTTTTTTTTCTGCGGCACAGATTGGGGCATGGTGCGTGATGAGCCTATGGGATGTACGTTCTTTCCCTTCTGAATAGTGTCTGCACGTACGTGAGACTAGTTATGTTCGCTAGCGCATTAGCGCTGCGAAAAAGTTTGAATATCCATCGCGAACTATGTGTTTAAATAACATTCCCCTGTGTTTAAGTTAGTTAAGTTTTATTGATTAATTATATTGTGATGTTCTCCTTATTGACATGCTGCCTCCTCTTCAGATTTCCAATTTCATTTTAATTGTTGAAGTAATGATTTCCCATACGGTAGTGGATTCATGTAACACTATTAAAAAAGACCTCTACTACTAGTACGCACACGACCACTATTAGTCTGTAAATCAAGACCCCTTTAAAAAAAAAAACCCAATCTGTGCCGCAGAAAAAAATAACGCCACCCGGTGAATAGTTTGTTGATAACGCCATCTGCGACGGCTTGCATCAAGTGTGTAGGAAATTATAAAGGCTGAGCTGGTGAGCATAATTATGAGTTTGTTGATACCGCCATCTTCGACGGCTTGCATCAAATGTGTCGGAAATTAAAAAGGACCAGGCAGATTCTGGACTAGAACAGTAACTGCTACTACAAAAGTGTGCACGCACGCACATGGCACCATAGCAGTAGTTTTCTCGCATGAACAAAGCAATATAACGATAACGTGCATGCAGCCACATGGCAGGCTATGAGTTATAAGGCCTAATTGTCATTTAAGTAAAGGATGAACTACTTCATGAATTCGTATAGTTTCCAACACCTGCTTTTTTGAGGTTATCGTCGTATATTTATATGATGAAACACCCTTGAGTTAACATTATTATTACTTCATTTCAATCCATTTTGATTTATTACCACAATACCAGGAAATAAATTCACAAAGACTATCACTTTACTAAATCAAATATAAGCATGATTTTTTTTTAATGAATAATACAACATTTGGACACAAAATTCACATTTAAAAAGTAACATAATGTAAGTGGTAAATAAATGTCATAATTACCCTAAGCTTGATATAGATGTTGAATTTTATTAGGAGGTTGGCCAAATTAAAGAGGACAAGTTTTGTCGATAACCAATTATAATAATTAATAACAATTTTTGGTCAAATGCAAATTGAAATAAAAAATAAATAAACGCAAACCCATTGTTGGTTGAAAAAGGAATACCTGTAACGACACACGTTTAATGTTTGAATATTTCGTTTGTATATATGTTAATCAACAACATGAATGATACACATAGTGGAGATAAAATTCAGATCAAGGTAGTCCATTTTCAGTGGTAATGACAATATATATATAGATCAGTTATTGTATATCGCATTACGTCATCCCTCTGAGCCATTAGATAAAGTACAAACCACCTTATGTACTTTTTTAAGGCCTAATTATCATTGAAGTAAAGGATAAACTACTTCATGAATTAGTATAGTTTACAACAGCTGCTTTTTGGAGGTTATCGTCGTCATTGACCATAGGTGACACGTGATACCCCTACGGGTCAAGTGCTTCATGTTCTGATTAATATATATATATTTTTAATAAGTATATTTATATGATGAAACATTTAATGTTTGGATATTTCGTTTTGTATATCTGTTAATCAACAACATGAATGATACACATAATGGAGATAATAAGCGTAAGAAGTAAGAACTTTGGAAATTATTTCCTTTGCTTTAGCTCCGGCAGCCGTTATCCGCTACACAGTGCATTTCAAGGAATGATCCTATACTAGGTACACATTTACCTCATCTTGGTCGAGTGTGGCATGTAGATTAATGTCTTGCCAAAGTAAATTAGTGTCGAGGCTGGACTCGAACCGCAGACCTTGTCATCCACAGTCCGGTGACATATCCACTCGACCACTAATAGCAAATTCAATTAGTTTTATCTTCAACGTAAACTCACAATGTGATATTGCACATAGTGTATAAAACACCGCAAAACAATAAGTATGCATGTTATAATATCAATGATAAAAACAAAAATGGGTTATTGTAAAGCCCTCATGTCTGGCGCACAGGCACCCCTGGCACGCTCCACTGGTATATTACCCCTGTTTTAGGATTACTGCTGTTCGGCGCTCTAGAAATTGATACCTGCCAGGTATCCATTTACCTCGGCTGGGTGGAGTGTGGCAATTCTAGCTTAATGTCGTGACGTCAGTGCCGTGGCAGGAGTTCGAACACCGTACCCTGTGGTTCACAGTTAGGAGACTTATCCTCTGCACCTGTGGCTAAATAAAGAATTAGGCTTATTGTTCTATTATGTTGTTTATATTTATTTCAAACACTATTTCTATTTTGAAATCAATTGTTTAAAATGTTTCCCCATGTTTTGTATTTAACTGTTTGCTTTTTTTGTGCAGTGGTATTTGCCTAATGCAAAATACCATTTTTTCCCTGCATAAACCAGTAATTTGTTGGTGTCCATGGATATTGTGTCTCCCTTTTATTTACAAAGTATAGTTTTAAAATGAAATCCGATAACGCTATCTCATTTTGACCCCTACGTAACAATACCCTATTACAATTCGTTATAGTTAAAGTACACACATTTTATGTAATTCCCAGCTGTTTTAAGATGAGAGCCTGGAAAATAATCGATGATTTTTAAGGTTAATTGCAATTGCTGATGGAGTACCAGCTGGGAGTAGGCAAGGCTTATCGAAGTGTCACTCTTGAGAGTCGTTGAAAATGGCAGGTCATGTTAGTACCAACAAGACATACATGTAATGGCCGTTAAAAAGTGAAAATAATATAGGGCTGTTGGATGCAATATTTAAGGTTAATTGCAATTGACAAGCCCCTCCAATTTCATATTTAAAGCAAAAAGATTATAGAATGGAGTGCCAGCTGGGAATAAGCAAGGCTTATCAAAGTGTCACTCGTGAGAGTCGCTGAAAATGGGAGGTCATGTTAGTTCCAGCAAGGGATACACGTAATGGCCGTGAAAAAGTGAAAATAATATACGGGTGCGGGATTGCAAACCATCGTAGTCTCTTAAAACTACCAATACGGGGGCAACTGGGACCTCATTTCACTTATATTTATTTCTAATATCAAGCCAATTATAACATTGGCATGAATAACAAACGCTATTACTCAATGAAATAAATACATCAAAATGCATCACGTATGAAACGGTTAGGATTATTAGCTCTCTCGTTTCGCCTGTCGCTAAGTAATTTCTGTAAAAAAGTAAGATCCATAGCTCTTTTCTGATGTTCATTTTCTTTAGCCTAAAACGCTTCATAAAGATCACCTAAGATGATGGTTTGTTTTTACATGACTGCTAAGAAACATGTGTATGCTTGAAAAGAGCAAATAGGGGGCGACAGCTAGAAGTACTCTCCAAGAGAATTATTAATGAGGATAAATGCCTCACCAAAGAGCACTTCCGAATCCGGGACCACCTAGTTACGAGACCACTGCTCTATACCACTGAGTCATAGCGTCTCCTCTGAATGAAACGGTTATTATACACCGGAGCGAAAAAGTCTATACACAACAACTCACATATCCCTGACACAACGAATGCGAAATCTTGAGCATATTAAATGGATGGTGGGCAAACTTTCAAATGATGAAAAGCAAAACTTCGGTCTCAGCTTTACAATATTTTCAGTTATAGCAAGTGCATTGCTCACTATAATTGCATTTGTTTGCTTTCTCTGTGAAATATAAAACAGAATATTTTATTGCTGACACACATAGTAAACACGTTAGGTATAGTTAACAAGCAAATTATTCATACCCATCGTAAATTGCATGTCTTTCTATTTTTCGTAACTCATGAATGAAAGGTGAACTGGTTGGATTAGAGCCTTTGTTTTATAGTTTTAGATGTAAGCTTTAACCCTTTAACTACTGAATTCTCTCATTCCCATAGATTTAATACAGGGACCACCCGGTTCCCATATACAATGGGTTAATATGCCACAGTATCAAGAAATCGAATTGACACACACTTAAAAAAGTACAAACTTAGTAAGGGTATGAATAATGTATGTGTTAACGGTATATTTACAGTTTGCATATTGTTACGTAACAGAGTTTTCTCAGGGCTCAAGGTCGACGCATAGGCGCTCATGATTGGTTCATCAAGATGACGAGCTTAACGGGTTGAACGGCCCGGACGAATTTTGCGGTCCAAGTCCTATAAAAGGGGTTGTTTCTTCACAGAAATCGTCTTTGGGCGCACCTTTGCGACGCAAGGAAGTTCAGAGGTAAGTCGTCTAGAACCTTAATAATTCATCAGTTTTTTGTCACCAATGCTTTGGTAATATTTCAGGTTATTATACTTCAGTGCTTCATGAGAGCTGGCTCTTGATTTAGATATTTGCCTATGGATTTCAGCAACTTTATAGGCCTATACCTCCAAGTCATCTTGACTTCCCTTTTTAGTGATTATGCTAGATCTGTATAAATATCGTTATCTCTGTTAGTAAATCAATACATAATAATAATAATATTTAATTTTTATATAGCGCTTAATACAAATGTCTCTAAGCGCTTTACAACTATACTATTACCCGGTCAACGTAAGACCCATTGGTAAATTCTGTCTTCAGTGATCTGTCTCCAGTTAACTCCACTGTTAGAATTGCCTATTTCTATGAACATAATTGTAATTAACATCGATGTTAATTCATTATATAATTGATGTGAACCAATCGCCACTCTTAAAAAAGCCGAGGCTCTAGATATCTTCACTCTTGATGCGATTGAGCCGGACTGATCGCTAATTTTCCTTTCAATTGCGAACCTAAAAACAAAAAACTCTTTCTTTATGAATGAGTGTGATTAGAAGACATATATCCTTTCTCGATTTCAAATTGTAGTTTTATATCCCATTTCAAATAATTTCATTCTTTCCTATTGATTTCAAAAGACAAATCGTCGATCGATGTCAACGTCTTCCTCTATTTTATATTTTAAAATAATAGTTTTATTTTTTCCTACTGATTGAAAAACCGAACTATTTGCTCGATGTCAGTTTGTTGTTTTACTTCAGATTTCATCCCTTTTTACGTTCTTTCCTGTTGATTGAAAAACATAAATCCTTGCTCGATGTCAACTTCTCGTTTTCTCTCCCATGTCAGCTATTTCAAGGTAAATTCCGCAGAAGAGCCAAGATGTTTGGCGGGAAAAAGTCTACCCCAGTCATCCTTCTCGTGATTCTACTTCTTCAGGATGCGCACAAGTGTTCTGCGCAGCGACCGATACCCAGCGGCGTCACTTTCCTGGGTATCGGGTATAACATCATCGAGGGGAACCCTGAGGGGGGCGACATGGCCACCGGGGGCGTCGACCCCGGACTCCTGGTGAGTCGGTCGGTCTTCGTCATGACGTACGACGAGGGTAAGATCACTAACGATGGAAAGTACCAGATCCCAGACGAAGTTAACTATGTACTTCGGGACGCCGCCTATACCTCATCTTCAGCGACAACCTTTCATGGTACTTCCAGTTATGCCGAGAAGCTTTCATCTCAGGTGGATGTTGGTGGTGAGTTATTTCAATTTCAATCTAAAGTCTAGCAATTATGTATTTTACTCATTTTTTCCTTCATATTTACATGATTGTTTAAATCATTAAATGTATATAACAAGAGAAAGCGATATTATCATAGTAACGATGATAATAGTACTCACAATAATGATAATGAAAATAATTTTGGTGATGATAATAATAATGATTATCATAATAATAATGATAATGATAATGACAAAAAGTGAATTATGCTTTTGAAGCGCATAATAAAACAAAGTCATGTCTCTATGCGGTTTACAAATATGATGGCATAGGAAGTTTATTAATCAAAATCGAAAGAATCTAAAAACTACGTAAAGTACCGAGAAGTATTAAGGAATAATACAAAAATGTATTCAGAATATTCAAACACATCATGTGCTGTATAAATCATGAATGATTTTTAAGAACACAAGACAAGGAAGAAGACTTAAATCCCGTTAACGGTTAAGCAAGCATAAGCTTATGTATATGCCTGTATGAATCATAAAGTATATATTAATTTCGGAAGAGAATAAATATAAAGAAAGAATACTTCCACCTGTGTATCATAATTGACTGTACCGGTTGCATATATTAATGATTGCATAATTTTTATGCAGCCGTCGTTTCGATGGGCATAATGGGTTATACCAAAGAGATTTAAGAGCAGGAGTCCTAACTGGCAACAAATTATTTCAAGCAGCTGCCGTTTTCTAAGGTTGCGCAATTCAATATACAAGTGTGCTGTGACCTTTCATGTCCGAGGTTCGAAGCCTCCAACATCTATGCTCGAGAAGTTAGTTTTTCCACAAAGAAATATCGTTAATATTTCACTTTTTATATGAAATAACGAGAGAAAAATCAAACAGATAATAAAATATGAATAAAAAGCCCAATTGTGTCAAGAAAAGTGTTTACATTGTATAATAGCAGTTTTAATTTGTTAAAAGCAGTAAAATGTTAAAATCTTAAAACCTGCAATTTGACACGTTTCCGATTACTTCCGGCTCACGAAAATATATTTTTTTATTTGTTCAAGTTAAGTATTTATGATGTTTAATACGTGTCAGATTAGTGCCCACACATGCCCAGTCAAATAATTTTGATTAATATTTCAGGAAATTTTGCTCCATTTCCTTTCACTTGCCTCCTGTAAAGGTGAACACTATGTACTGCTCGTATTATTAGACGAGTGGTAGCGAAAAGTAATTGTCATTACAAAAGCATAACCCCCTTTCAAAGTGGCCGTTAGTTTGTAGCTAGGTACGAATCTTTTGTCTACCAGTTACATGCCTGATCATCGAAGATGGTACAGAGGGAATGAGCTAGATATCACTCCACTTTTAAAGCTCCTTGGTTATACAGTTTTACATTATAAAAGGTGATCAAGAAGCACTGTATTTCATTGTAAATGATAAAAACGCAGAAGGTGGTAAACAGGCAACTTATTCAGGTCCCATCTTTAATAATTGTGTTACATTCAATGACACAAATTACCTTTATATACCCATTCGCAAATAGTCTCTTGAAGTGTCTTATAATTTTGATCTCTTTTTCATAGGTCATAGGTCAGAGGTTTGATCAATTAGAGTGTAATTAAGAAACAGGCATGCGCGTTCGATCGAAGCACGAACCACAAAATTCATCATTTCTGTCAAAGATATAACTGTCTTACTCACCTTCGATCCTAATCGTCAATGTATTTCTGTCGCATGGTTCGAGAAATGGATAACTGATGTAGTGTATCCCTTTTGCAGCCAACACCAAATGTTGTAGAACTTTGCAGGAATTATGAATATGTCCTATCTGTGAAATTTAAACGTGAGCAGTTCCCTAGTATTCCAATTATGCAAGAAGACTCGTTTACTTTCTAAACTTCACTGTCAGACACTATTGAGTGATTAACTGACTTCTTTGGTAATAACATACATAACATGAGCTGTAAAGGGTACATGAGCTTTTGTCTATATTAATAACCCACTTCTTGAAATGACCAAAATTAAACTGATTGATCTTTGCGCTGCACAAAACGTACGACCATTTGGTACAAGGGTCTGAAAATCAGCCTATTTAATTAAACGAGCGCGCTCGCTAAATTCGATTCGACAACTAACGGATATTTTCCACAAAAGACATTATCAAGCCCTTTTGTTTTGAGGGAGATCGAAATTAGTATTTTCTTTCAAATGCCGTTGGAATTTAAACTTTTTATTTGTTGGGCCTGCAAATGGGACAACGTATGCCTACCTTTAACCAATAAGTATATTGATCAATTAATCATTCAATGATACTTGTAAAAATAACGAATAACCTAATACACCAGTATTTATATCATTCATATAACAACACATGCTTATAACAATCCTTCATTTCTTTTCAGGTGGATATAGCAACTTGTTTGCTAGTGTTGAATTCGCCGCAAGCTCCCGTAAGTAATTCACAAATTATTATGATAATGTTCGTAGATTGTAATGCAATTATGAGAAATAAATCGCAAAAGTATTATATGCAGCACACAATATGAGTCATCAGTAAATACGTAGGCCATATATTATTAAAGGGATATAGACAATCACACACACTTTTTTCCCCGTATTTTTTAAATTTGATTTGATTCATTGATTCAAAACAATACTAACAATTCTCAAAATGCAATTCAGTTTACTTAATACATGTACAATTAATAAATTACGATTAAAAACGATTTGGGGAATTAAATCAGTTTAAAATTTAAGCAAGAACCACGCACACACACACACACACACGCACGCCAGACATTAGCGTAATACTCACTATTGTGATTTTTTTTTGTATACGATTCTTTTTTTTTTCTTCTTCTTTTTATTATTATTATCATTATTATCATAATTATTTTATTATTATTACTTTTCTCAGGTTATCAACAAATTGAAGCGCGAACGGACAGCGAGGGTTACATCTACTACGCGAACCAAACCGTATCAAACATGGGAAACGCTCGTTACTTGACGGAGCTTGCAGGTCCTGACAAATACACCCTCAACAATGGATTCGTTTCAACCGCATGTAGTCTACCAACGGCTTACGCTGAGGATGACTACATGACTTTCCTCGATACCTGGGGAACTGTAAGGAACACCATATGTTTTCAAAATAAACACTTTTCTTCTTCATTATTTGGTTTAAAAACAAAGCGAAATTAAATTTCACGTCTGTTCGGCGTTATTTTTATTTGCAGAACAATTAAACGATGAAAATCACTTTCCTTTTTACACGTTATCAAAGCTCACTTTTACATTATTTCAGCTTAATAAAAGTTGTTTTTAAAATCTCTAATTTGGGTGCATACCAAACAATGAACAAAGATTTGGTTTTGAAAAAATATACATAAGCTTATATTACTTGAAATGTTAAACGCCATTAAATATCTCATTTTTTTCATATGAAAAGTTCGCTCCTGTTAAACAGTTGGTTTCAATGAAGGCAGTTACATAAATGAAACAGTTAAATGGAAGTTTGATCATATTGCAATTAAAAGAAGAAAATTATAAATTTTCAAAAGTTGTAATCAATGAAATCGAAACAAATTCCAGAAATTTCTTTAAAATATTATAAGGAAAAAATTGTAGCCTATTGTGGAAACTAACTCCAATAATAGACGACACTACAAATGCTGATAGGACGTTCATTGTTCAGTAAGCAGTGGCTACTTTTGTTAAATGTATGAATTTATGACGTATAAATGTTTATCATAAATGTCTAATAGTTAAAAAAAAAAAATACGCATTAGAGTTAACTCACGTAATTAAGGAAATCTAAAGAAGCCATAGCCTAAAGATCATCATCATTATTATAGAGTATTTTGTCATCACGAAAATGTATCCATGATGTTTCGTATCATATTTATGTTCTTTGTGAACTTTGTCCGAGCCTTTATAAAGACACTCAGTGGTTAGCTCTCATGGGGAATTCAACACCGTTCGGGTGTTTACCCAATAACAGGTGTTATACAACACCTACGTGGATCCTTGTCATTTGATTGGACGATTGTTGGTCACATGATATTCAATAGATGGTATATTGCACGGTCGTGCATTTTTGGTTATATGCGCCGTGCATTTTTGGTTATATGCAGACTGCGTATCTCTCTGCTGCATGTGCGCGTATCCCTGCGTGTATCTGACGCGAAGGCAATCTGCATGTAATCGAAAAGGCTTGACTCGAACTTTAATTTATCTTTATAAGGAGTAAAGCATAATTTGTTGATTAACGATCTATTAGGTCTTCTCCGATGTTGTATAAAACAAATAATGAATGTTTTTCATTCGTTTAATAGTGCAAATATGTTCATTCGTTGAAAGATTAACGTTAATTCTATTCAACTCGGCTGACGCCTCGTTGAATAGAATGTTAATCTTTCAACTCATGAACATATTCGCACTATTGAACTCATAACCATTCATTATTTGTATATTGTCAATCACCAGGGTTAGCCTTGAGTTTTATGACCATTCGACCTTATGTAATGCTTTGCTTTTCTCTAACCCGACCCGAAGCGGGATCCGAAGCTAGACTCTCCGAGAGATAATGGGGTCATTCTTGACTAGCCAGCGGGTTTGCTGTGTGCAGATTTGTATTCCCATTAATTGTTTTCCCACCAAGTCTGGTGTCAGTGAATTATGGCCTTCTGCACATGGAAACTGACGCGTGACTCCTTTTAACTCCACATGTGACCAAACCAAATATCCATGTTGAATGACATTGGACCAATAAATATATTGAATTGAACTTCGAGGGAAACTAATTTGAGTGTTCTTTATTTTGACAGCATGTCGTCACCGAGGTGGATCTAGGAACCAGGGAGGGTTCGAACTATGAGGAGCACAGGACGGACTTCGTCTCGTATGCTTCAACAAATGTAAGACTACATTTCAAGAGAAAAAATAGGAGTGTTTTTATTAATTAATTAATTCATATATTTTCATTTATTCATCTAAATTTACGTTTATATAGAATTTCCCCGCCAAATTCGCAAGTTTTTCATTGAAATTAATTTGTCTTGCGTTCAAATTCGACGATTTTATTGCTGTCGGGTATATCTCGGGTTTATATTCCCTTTTCTAGTTTTCAAATCTATGAAGTTTTCGTTAATATCTATGTATGTTTCATTTAAATTGATAAACAATGTGCTTCTTTCGCTATTTAGTCATTCGATTTGGCGCAACACCATTTTCTGACATCGCGAGGGTGTACTTCTAGCATTCTAATTAATTTGTAGCATACAAATTAGCACTTTGTGCACTTAAATTGATGGTCAATATACATTTCTAGTTGATTACACACTTCTTGTATCTCATTCTTTCAAGATTGTTTCGTTCATGTACAGTGTATTTCATCATATTTTTTTTCCTTGCACTTATACACTTATACTTCAGTTACATTTCAGTTTGATTGTTTAGAAAGAAAGAAAAAAATAATTCCATCTACGGACTTGATGGTCTAAAAATGTTTGTAGATTGCCATGTTTACTTAATGTCTGACTACACCCATATGCATTGTCTTGAACATGATGAATAAGTAGAATAACAAAATAGACCCCAATGGCAAATCATGTATTTTAATTGCATTATTTTAAAACTGTCAACATGTGTTGCATTGTTTCCCCTAACATTCCTAACTTGAATAAAAATATTTCGAATACGAATGTCAGGTGTTAATTTAAATGATAAAAATGACGCCTCGACAAGTAAAGAATAATTTGAATGCTCGTTGAGCAGTTTCTTAATTAAATGACAGATCAATGAAACCCTTCGACCAAAATCCTAAATTAAATACCCAAACGGGAAAATTGAATGATAATTGGCATGGCAATGCCGATCTGCGCTAACTTAAATGCAAAGTAAATGAATTCGAATGACAAACTCGCCAATTTCGCCGGGAAATCCATTTTTTTATAGAGATATATTTATAGAGATATTTATTTATTTATTAACTTAATTTTCCACTGTTGGATGAAACACAGGGATCATAGGATTCCACTAAGAAAAAAAATAAAGGTAGTGGTTAAAGCAATGTTATTATGTTCCAAGTTATACTACTGCTGCTGCTACTACTATACTACTACTACTACTACTTATACTACTACAGTTAATACGAATAATAATAATATATAATGATGATAATATGCATTTATATAGCGCCGTCTATCTAGAATAATATAACAATGATAATAGTAACAGGGTAATACAAATATGATAATGGATATCTTATGATCACAGGTCGGCGGTAGTGTCAGTTCTGGAGGGTCATATATGGGCTTCAGTTCCTCGCTTTCGGTTGATATGGATACCTTCAATGCCGGCATGCAGAGTGGCTCCAGTTTCGGTAGCCTCTACTCCTCCTACAGGGTTGGAAGCGCTAGCCTCAATGGTGAGAAATAGAATCTTGATTTTATTGATTTTATGTAAATAATGTACCTACGTCATTGTTATTTTGTCTATTTTGTAAGGATCATTTTTAACAAGCCATTTATGTGCTATTCATGATACTCTCACTTCTGTCCTACAAATAATTTCTTCCTCCTTATTACTTTCTGATTTTCCTCATCACCGTTGGCCTACCGTTTTCCATTACGCATCATTATTTTGTTTCAATATAATTCTTATTATATGAACATTTATATGATGAGGACATCATTTCAATCCGTGATTATGATACATATCATATATCTCATAATGGAATAGATGAACATCAAATCAAATATTAAATATCATCTAATCCATTTATTCCCAACAAATCTTTAAAATAAAATCTAATTTAACAAACTAAAACAAAGTCGTTCAAGTAAAATCAGATAAAATCATACTGAATTAAATCATTCAAACCAAATCAATTCAAATTAAACAAATTTTAATCGAATCGAACCAAACAAAATTAATCATATTAAATGAAATTAAATGAAATAATCTATTCTTATCCAATCAAATCTTTCCAGAGCCAATCAGCTTGATACTCGTCGACATGCATGAGATATTTGGTGAGGATTACTGGACCCGGATGCAGGATTACATCGATTCTGAGCACTGCACGGCATCATGGGATAGGGCGGCGGCTGCAGAGAATGTCTTGACGGCTATGAAGGGCTATGCGGAGTGGAAAGAGATTCAGGACAGCAAGAGTAGGTTTTGTTTCCTTCTTCTTTTTCTCTTTTTTGCACTCGAAATTTGTAATAATAATAATCTTTCAAATAAACCGCTTAAGACCAACCGTTACAAATGTACGTGACCGACCCAACCGCTGACAGTGTTATAGTCATGCGCGATATATGTTATCTATAGTTGTCATCTAGTACGTGCCATCGATTAGAAGAGATTGGCCAACCCGGTTCGAGTTGGGCACAATATGGCGAATAACGCCTCGTTCGCTTACAATCATGCTCATACTTAAATGGCGTTTGCATCCTACAGGCATTTAAAACCTAGAAAGAGAGGAGCAATGCAGATAAAACACCTTGCCGAAGGACACAAGTTCCCCCCCCACTCCCTGGAGATAATAATACTGCTGGCAGGGATATTTCAAGATTTCTATTCAGTTCTTAAAACTGCCGATATGACTAAATTTTCAGCAAATTTACGCGAAAGTAGCCGAATATTTTTTTGTATATTTTTTTTACCAACAAACCTGACTACCACTGAAGGCAAACACAAAAACTGGCCACTGTAAACGGGTGGCCTTTGTAGACAGGTTCTTCAACACAGTCATGTTTCCTTCATTAGGGGTGCAATATAGGTGACCACTAAGATTAAGGTTTGATTGTATACTGTTTTTCATATTTGCAAATATTACAAACAGTCCAACTTCGAGATTTCAACGGATTTATTAAGAAATAGTTTTTAAAGCAAGCGACATGAGTGCCAGAGCTGGACGATACGTGCTCTTTACAAGGCTTTCATTACAATTATTGCCACATAATAATAATCCAGATTTGTATAGCGCTTAATACCAAATGCCGTCTCTAAGCGCTTTACATAATTGTATTATAACCCCGGGCATCGGATTCATTCACGAACAACGTGCACCATATCCACTCCCTTTTGAGTATTCCTACTTTTTGGTCACCGTGAGGGCAAATACTAACACAAATGCTCTCAGCATCCGACCTGGTCCCAATTTCTCTCCTAATTGGTATGGGTTGCAATTAAATGTAGATTAATGCATTGGGAAAGAACATTAGTGCCGTGTCGGGGATCGAACCCCACGACCTTTGAGTTGCAAGTCAAGTGCTTAGACCACTCGTACATGACACCTCTACTTAAACCCTCTGTTTGCCCCCACGTGACGATCGTTTTGACAGGAGTCTCACTCCTGTTAGGCTCAATCAAGACAGACGGCTAAACGGGTAGGACTGCGACGAAAAATGATTACGAGATGCTTCCTTAATTACACACGCTTCTTGGTTAAAAAAGGGTATGGGACTATGTCAAGAAGGAAGTGTTGGGACCATGCAAAACAAAGAAATATACGCTATATTTAGTCCAACTGAAACCAATTTGGCCAAACTTTGTGTGTATAAACATGATAAGCATCTCTAGCTTGCTTACAAATCAATTTCAATGAATTTGATAGAATTCGATCGGTTCTTCATTTCTTCCAGACCCGAACGTGATGATTCCACTGACCTGGCCCGATGGCATGTACGGACTAACCCAACCCGACGATGGTTGTCCCAACACGGAGTTCACCTGGAACGAGGGATCTAGATACCAAGATACAGAGGATAAGGACGGTGAAAACGGCTGGAGCGATCCTATTCACATGTCAGGGCATTATGCCAGTAACATGCAGATGAACTTCTGTATCAAGACCGTCTCGAATGTTGATGAGCGATCGAAGTGGACCTGGCAGCCCGGGAGTTACTGCATCTTCAAGTACGGTGACAGTTGCCCTGCAGGTAGTTCACGTTGATATTGTACAATTTTAAAGTAATTTACGATGTCGGTATATGACTTTGATGTTCATCCAATTCAATTTTGCGATAGAAGCACAAGTTAACAACATCACACACACGCGTCCACCTAAGCACACGACCTCATACATAATTATGTTTATTTTGGTAGAATGTAGCATTTGCCGAAAGGTTCTTCTTTAAATTTCATATTTCATTGTTTTTGTCGATATGGACTTTGGTGTTTACTGGCGTGTATAAATCAAATCTTTATCATCGTGATCCGATTGGTGTATACAGCGCTGACCTGAACTTGAAGAGTTATTATATCAGAAGCATAACTCGTTTAGCATTATTTTATATTTTAAACATTTCTTTTCCCCTTCCACAGGGATCCTTCATTAAATAATATCGTTCACATTATTATGTATACAAGAATGGATTTTTACATGCAGAATTTCAAAATATGATAAGAAAATACATTTATAGATATAAGTTACGAATTGAAGTTCACTTTTTTGAAAATAAATATCACAGACAGTTTAGCATTATTTTGATTGACTTTTTACCTTGTGCCTTTATCCGATCTTTTTGGCATTACTGACCTTTCGTTGTTGTTTCACCTTTCACCTTTACTGACCTTTTTGTTGTTGGTACAGAGCGAATTTATTTTTCAATTCTATTCAGATAATATAAACAATAACAGACAATAATAAACGTAATGATATAACAGAAATGAGCATTGAAATATTGTTGACATTGTTTTTTAGTCATTGTAATGCAAAATGATTTAATAACAGGAAATCAAAAAAACGAACCTACTTGAAAGCAAAGCTTGTTAGCTGTAGGTTCGCGCAATAATAATTATACTTTATACATGTATCATCTAGCTGACATCTTAGCTTAATCCGACCTTTCATTTCCCTCTGACATTACATGTTTTCCTACCTTTCACCTTTATCTGACCTTAATGTTTCAACCAGACTTCGCAGAAGGCTATTTTTACTGGGATAATGAAGAGCATCTTACGGTGGGGCCATGCTTGCTATAAAATCACACTTTTGCCTTCGAAATTTTACCAGCTATCTTTTTGCCTTTGAGCTTTCATTCATCAGACATTTCGCCTTTATTTGATGTTTTGTCTTAAGAATTGGCTGAGCTTTTAAATCGTTTTTTACTTTTCGCTTTTATATCATTTTTTGTTGTCTTGAACGACCTTTTGCTTTTTGTCTTCCACCTTTTGTGACCTCTCAGCTTTATATGACCTTTCATCTTTATCAGACGTTTTTACCACCTATGTCACCGGCCTTCGCAGGTTATATTTACTGGTACGATGGGAACAAGGATACAAAAGCTCTTATGGTGGCACCTTGCCTGCTTGGAATTAATTTTCGCCATTTTCTGACCTTTTAGGTTTGTTTTAATTCATTGACCTTTCGCCTTTAAATCACCTTCCCTTCCTTTTTCTTCAGCCTTCAATGAATGTTACATATACTGGAACGACGAGGACAAGAGCAACAATTAGAACTCGTACGGCGGGGCTTGGCCTGTGAGAAAGTCACTCTATCACCTTTCACCATTTACCTGTATCTTAATTTTCGCTCTCGATCGCGACTTTTCATTTATGTAATCTTTTGTTTTATCCACTCTTTTGTCTTGAGTTGTCTTTCATATTTATTTGACCTTTCGCCTTTCCTGACCTTTCGGCACCTTCAGCTGAAATTTGCACTTGATCTGACCTTTAAACTTTATCTGACCTTTCTCCACCTTTTCCCTCAGCCTTCACCGAAGGTTGGATTTACTGGGATGATGAGGACAAGGACAACAAGAACTCGAATAGTGGGACCTTGCCGTCTGGACAGTTCGGTGCTAACACCCGATATGACTTCTGTTGCCGTAGCGATGGTGTGACTGACCGGGGCATCTTCCTACCCACCGATGATAACTTCTACCTCTTCTCACAGTTCGAGAATTGCCAGCAGGTGTGTATGAAACATATTCACAAAGATATCTCACAAAAAATGTATCACTTTAAATGCTATAGAAAGCCCCCCTAATAAAAAACAAAACAAACATCACAAACCCAACAAACTGTTTTCATTGTAGTAACATGTGAATAATTTCGCAACGCCTTGTATTTTGTTATTATAATACTTTTGTTGTTTTCCCTCCTTTTCTCCTTCTTCTGATTATTAAGATTATTATTATAATTATTATTATCATTATCATCATCATCATCATCATCATCATCATCATCAACAAATCTTATATCCTTTTTATTATCAGTATGATCATTGTTAATATTACTACATGTTAAGTACTTCTTCATTTCCATCTTACGTTACACAATTTGTATCTCGTATAGGTGGACGGGATGACTGTTTCAAAGGAATGGTTTTATTGGGACACTGAAGACAAGAGTAACGACGACGATATGTCTTCAGTACACCCTTACCAAGGCGTTTACTCTAACGGTAAAAACGTCAACCTCAACTTCTGCTACTACCAAAAAGAGTGAGGTTATTTAGCACATATTTTGATTTAACGTCTTCAATGGATAACGACCACTAACAGTGACATAGTTCAAACCATAGCTGGTAGAGTAGAGTTATATATTTATCGTACGGGAAGGTGCTATCGTTCGTAGGTTAAACAAGAAGCTTGTGTTTTGAGAAACGTGAACAAAATTGTGACTTTTTAAAATTCTTTGTTATGCTATTATGAAAGGGTGACATAGAATAAGTGTATCCTGTAGAAGATGTCTCTTCAAATTAACATCCTCATTTTCAACATAATGACAAGTAATACAGCTGAGGTTCTGGATCACACACATTTTGTGTGGTCCCATACACATTTTTGTGACTTTTAGGAAGACTAAACTGATTCATTATCATTATGATGACTATTCCGGGCTACATTAATGATTAACCTAGCTCAGTAGGCCTACGCTACATGGGTCAAACCATCGGCAGGCCTGTGTCATCAAGGGGGGAGGGGGGTGGGGTGGGGATGGTGGCTGGTGAATTAAATACCGAATTCACATGCAACATAATTATTAGGGGAGGTTGTAGAAGAGGTCCTATTTTACTAAATAATAATAAATAAATAAATATTTCAACTCATATTTCCTACGATACACTTTTATATTTCCCCTATGGAAATAGCCTAAATAGAATGAGAACGAGCTGACTAAATTCTTCACATTTCGCAGAACTCTGCTTTCCCTTTAAGTTTAAGAAAGGATTGTCGGAATGAGCTGGGACTCACGGTGTAGTAGTTCATAAAACGGTGATAAAATTAACTTTAAGGAAAATAACAGTAAAAATATGATTTATTTTTAATGAAACGGTGTGGTTTAATGTATTTAAATTATGTAAGAATAATACTTCTAAGTAGGCTATTATATGTTAGGGCTGTAGATTTTTTTTATTGTTCCATTAATCGGCTTAATTTGAGCAATCAACAGAGATCAACTCTTTTATGCACGAATATTGGATCATGAATGTTACGTAAACTTATTTCTAAAGCAATGTGTAGTGGCCCGGGTATTTAGAACAGAAGACTGAAAGGTCACTGTATTGTTTTCATTGGTCTACTGTTTTTCTTCGCTAAAAATTAATCCGTTTCAGGACATTTAGAAGTGAAGTACTGTGGTTATGGGTATTTCTTGCAGAGGAAAATAAGTAAAAGTAGAATAAATGCATAGTGTGACGGGAACTTAATCGGATTTCATTGAGTTTCTTGTTACGGTGTTATAATTATGATTGTCGTTATATAGCAGAAGAATGTGTTAGTGAAGAGAGGGAAAGATAGATGCAGATAGAGAGAGAGAGAGAGAGAGAGAACGGGATGAGAAAGGGAGGGGGTTTATTGAGAGTGAGGGGAAAAAGATGGAGGGGAGTTATGGAGAAAGAGAGAGAGAGAGAGAGAGTGTGTGTGTGTGTGTGTGTGTGTGTACCTGAGATAAAATGAAGGGAGAAGAGAAGTAGAAATATAGAGATTTTAAAAGAAAGAGAGAGAGAGAGAGAGAGAGAGAGAGAGGGAGGTATTCAATATCTAAAAAAAAATAATGCAAAAGAAATGGAAATGTAGATAGAGAGAGAGAGAGAGTGAATATGAGCATAGAGAGCGGGGGGAGGGGGGAGAGGGAGAGGGAGGGAGAGAGAGAGAGAGAGAGCGAGATGGAGAGCGTGAGTCCGGTATGAAAGGGAATGAGGTGAAAAGTAAAGAGAGATATTTAAAGAGAGAAAGAGAGATTAAAAATAAAATGAGAATGAGGTGTGGAAATATCGATAGAAGAGGTGGATCTAGACTAACTAAAGAGAAATAGAGATAGTGAGAGAGGAAGAGAAGGGGAGAAAGAGAGGAAAAGAGATAGAGAGAAAAGGGAGAGAGATTGAGATGAAGGGGAAGGAGAAAATAAGTAGTTATAGGTTGGTGAAGGAGTGTTGCTGAATAGTTAGAAAAGGTAGATGCAATAGCAAAAGGAAGAATGAATACTATAAATGAGATATTTGAGCTAAATGAAGAAGTTTAGAATAACTGATCGCGGAGAGGTGGAAACGAATGGAAAGGAAGAATGTGAAAAACTATTCTGCTTCTCCTAAGACCCTCCTGGATCGTACATTATTAACAAAACTAACACTTCAATCGTTTTGTACATACGTGTGTTGAAATATTCGGAAACCAGTCTGCATAACTTTAATCAGAAATCTTAACTTTCTTATTTTTTGGTCACAGTCATTTCATTCAAACTTTCAACAGTCTGCTTCTTTGATTGTCTTGTTTTCTTTTGGAGTAGCTGGCTGTTAAATTTGGTTTTCCCTTTAATACAATGTATTCATTATTTACAAAAAGTGATTTCTTATTAAGGCCTCCGTTAATGGGCTTTCCTATACCCACTTTTCAGAGGGGTCACTGGCCATTTCCGACGGACAACGGGACTAACATTTTATACAGTTATGTACCCTTAATTAAGCTTTCATTTTGTCAGTCGTGTACCGTCGATAATATTATTTGATTTGGCGGTCTCATGGGCTTGTCTACACTGGAATGACACCTGGGTCCTCGTGAGTTCGATGTCCCTTTTCAGCCCCACCCCCCCACCGCACCCTCTAAAGTCTTAAATCACAACCAACAATTTACTATATACACTGTCGCTCTGTTCGCTCATATAGTTGGAATATTTTTGTTTTACCCCATTTTATGGAATTATTTTGATTTGTTTTAAAAATTCCGAATAGATCTAGATGGTAGTATACATTCTCAGATTTTATTGAATAATAATTTGCCAATGTGTGTTTTGCGTGACTGCTAACGCATGTGTATGCTACTATGCTTATCAACTAGGGGACCTACGCTCTTAAGTCATAAATGACAGTAATGAGGATTAATGCCCCATAAAATGGCACTAATACACATCGACACGGTTTTGATCCTGCGGCCTCACAGTTACGAGGCCATTGCTTTACCACTGAACCATGACTGTACGCAGTGGGGGCTAGGGTAGGGGGCAGTTCCCACAAATAAAAAAAAATAATAAAAAAAAATGCAATAAATTATCAATAATTCATTGTATTTCCCCCCGGTCCCCAACATAATTTTTTTTTCTGTGTGCCCATGCCTTGAGCCATAATGCATGGCCGTATAGAGGATTTTTTGAATCTAGATCTATTAGGTATACATCATTGTCAAAATTAGGGTAACAAAAAAATATTCCAACTATACGAGCGACAGTGTATATACATGTGACGGAATTTTGCAACATGCAAAAACGGATATGAAACCGATTCTCATAACTAGATTATTTTGTTTGTAAACATCCAGGATAGGGATTAATGAACAATGAAAGAAGCCTCACTTTCAAATATAAAACCCCGCGGAATGTTAACATAGACGGCACTATTTTGTTCCCTCTTGAAACACCGAACATACCGCGGTGCAGCTATAGTGGCGGATCTAGGGGGGGGGGGGGGGGGGGGGGGACTCCCCTGGCAAAACAAATATTTGTTGTTGTTGTTGGATTATTGGGCCCCTCCCTTGCCGTCGGCTGGATCCGCGCTTGCCGCGGTATATGCAGCTGAAAATACAATGACGTCTTATTTTGTTTACAAGCGACGGATTCCTTAATTTTTCCTCAAAATATACGTGGGGTTTAGAGTGAGGCAATGTAGAGAAGATGACAAAACAGGTACTGAAAATGTGTGAGATGTCATGGGACACCGTCTGCTTGCCTGTGCAAATCATGTTCAACATGTGACGTCACACAACGTTCAGAGAGCTTTTCAGGTGCTATGTGCCGGGGTTATATCTAAGCGTTTTGTAATTGATGTTAATCATTACTTCGAATATTTCCAAGCATTGGATTTTGATAACCTTGTCCAATCAAAGTTTCACCTCTGCAATTACGACAATAAAGTTAGTTTTTGAAATCAATGAACATTCTCTTTAACTTCCTCCAATATGCGTACATATGCGCGTGCTATCACGTACCTAGTACTTTGGTACTACGTAAATGTGGATACGTACATGTGCATGCGCATGTACGTACACACATAGAAGTACGGTACCGCACGTGTATGTTATCTTAGCCTAGCTTACACTTCGAGTCTGTCTACCTAAAATTCATGGCATCCAGGCCAGGCCTAATACTGGTCGGTATGTAATGGGACCAAGCTATGTCGTCTCCTAGCTGTGATGAAGTAGCAGATGAGCTGCAAGTTATAGAATCTATTTTCTGCCAAAGCGGAGAATTCGTGCTCCATGATTTCAACGCATTGACCGGTAAGAAGCCCATGACATTTCCCTATACTGCTATAGACCTACTAGGTTGTCGCTGCTGGTACTCAGCCCGGGCGGCAGGCGCGGTGAGCGACGGAAAACCGCTGGCTTCTACTATGTTGAGAAAATTTCACGTAGAATAGTCAATAGACTAATAGACTACATCTATTCGCTATCATAGAGACTACGGTAGTCTGGTCCAAATCGGCGTAAATATTCATAATTGAATGACACACGCCCTTAAAACTAAAACAACAACAACAACACCAGTTAAAACTATAGATTCTAGGGGTAGAACTGTTTATTGGTCACTATGAGTATGAGCTCACATAGACAGAAATAACCATCTGATTTCGGTCATTTCTTTAATAAAACTGACATTTGTTGTCATTCCCCAATACGGTTATCCTATACTTTAGTGTGTTTTATTATTTTGGGTTTCTAACTTCACCCTAACCCTAACCCTAACCCTAAACCTAAACCTAACCCTAACCCTAACCCTAACCCTAACCCTAACCCTAACCCTATGATGGTAACCCAGAGATCTCGTACCGTGGGGGTAATTTAGAGCCACAGCGGAACATCTTTTCGTTCCTGACATTTCTCCCCCGATTTTCTTTATTTAGATCTAATTTTCTGATTTCTAAATCAGATGTAAATTAGGTCGGTAGACCTATGTCATTTGTCCTAATTACAGTTATCAAAATTTGATAACTTAATATTAAATTTATAATTTACGGACTTACTTATATGAATTATCCAATTTGTATCTCCGAACTGTGAAACAGTACGTTCATGCACTCGAACATAGGGCTATATGACCCGCCGGCCAAAATATTTCCAGGTCAACCTACCAAAACATAGCCAAATGGCCAATCAGAGCACTCGTTTCGTGGGAGTTCGTTGGTCAAGCTGGGCTGTGGGGCTGACTCGTACGTAGCTACGGTAGCTATTGGACGTTCGAAAAGAAAAAATGAATATTCATCAACTAAAACCAAGACGGATAATGTTGACGAGACTTTCTCGGATTAATCATTAATTTGGGATCTAAATGAGCAAGCTATCGTAAGTCAAATAAGCTATATATATGTTATTTTTAATTTTTATTATAATTGCAGCAGTTATGAGGATGTAAAGAGTGAAAATCTTGTTGCATATCTCATTCATCGCGGTCCGGTCGAACCGAACCATTTGTTTCGTACAGT